TCAAAGCTTGTGCGGAAGTGGTCTACGAAGACATTGGCAAGACGGTTTCTCACTACGGTGGTCTCCGAATCACAGCCAGTCAGGCCATCGAGTACGCGGCATGGGGAAAGGCCAAACAGTTGGCATGGGACAGGGGATACGATTCCGAAGGCAAGACATGCTACATCTGCTACTACGATGCCGGGAACTGCGCTTATGCTGGTTTCATGAGAATGCTTTTGACTCCGGAAGAGCGCCAAGAATGCTACAGAGGGTCAGCCTTGCCCAAGGAGGAACTCCTGGGTGACACGGTGGAGCTGGCGCTCGGGCTTCTTACAATTGCAATGAGACACCCAAGTCATTTTCCGAATTGGGGTGGCCTTGAGGGAGCAAATGCGTGCGTGAGGGGAATCGAAAGATCATTCTTCCGCTACGCGTCGGCCGAAGCTATCGAGCTGATCACGGTTGACTCCCCACGCAAAAGGACACCGCCCAAGAAGAATGAAGCAGTCGCTGAGATCGTCAACAACATGTCCGCTGACCTCGTGATTGATTTCACAGTGATCGTCGATGGTGATATCTACCCCGTAGAGATTGCGAGAACCGACGAGACACAGGCCGCTGACAACGTCACGGACGATCCAGGGTTCTCCGTTGCTCCACCAATACCTGCACAGGATGTAGATGTGGATGCGCAACCCGAAGAAGAACAAGGTGCAGAAGGCCCTGATCCCAGGCAGGCGATTCGTGAAGGATTTGTCGCACAGCTTCAGGACTATGTGGGAGTGCTCGCTCAAGGCGAAATGTCGGTCGGAAGTGACCGCCTCACGTTCTGTATCGCTTGTGGCAGTGATCTACACACTCTGTCCAATTGCACGGAAAATTCTGCAACCCGGGATCTGGTACTTCGAGGCATCCAGATCATCAAGGAAAGCCTTCTTCGATATCCACGTCGAGTACCTCCACAAGAGGCTGAGCCAATGGACGTTGACACCACAGACCATGTGAGTGTTGCATCCTCGGACCGACGACCCAAGGCCAAAGCCCGACCGCGACGCGGAGGCGAAGCCGTACGGGGTGATGTGGTCTTGATCCGTTATGAGAACAAACACAATCTCTGCACGGATGTGGAGAACCGTCGGGGCCTACATGATGCTTGTGGCGTACCACTGCAGGAATCAGGACCAGAGAATAGCCAGCGGGTGGTGGACCTCATTGAGCAGCTTTCGGACCATCGCGACCGACGCCTACCTCAACGAGGAGACCGTCCTAGCTTTGCTTTTGACGATACCACTCAGGGCTACACCAATGCAGGCTATGAATGCATCGGCGGCGGAAGGCCAATCCGGTGCGGGATTCTCGACCTGATCCCAACCAAGGGTGCAAGCTTCATCAACAATCGATGGGACATCGTGAACGAAGTTGTCCTTCGCAACATCACCCGTCAGCGCAGACTAAACGCGGATTGGGCGCTATCATGCATCCAATCTGACCTGCGTCACAGAATCGCCAGGCGCCCAGGCTCGGAATGGCTTGACAACAGGTGCCAGGTAGCATTCAGCAGCGTCATTCGATGTGATGAAGGAGGGTGGGTGCTGATCGAAGACTTGGTGAGGCATGAGCAACTATGGACCCATGAAAGCAGACGCATCACCGAAGCGGTCTCATGGTCCGATGAGCAACAGAGGAAGAGAGTGTACAATGAAAGACTTCAGCTATTGTTCCAAGGGAACATGCTCGCCGCCACGAAACGCCACAAGGCCAAGATTCGGTTGCAGTTCCTGGGAGTGAGAGTGAAGGACCCCGGCGTGGAAACTCTTGGATCCGCAGGTTCGAACATGATGGTATCGGTTCCTGACCAGATCACGGAGATCCAGAACAATGATCGTTGCCGGCGCAACCAGAGGTACCTGAACGTTTGCAACGGCTGGGTGAAGCCATGGGCAGTTCGGGCTACAAGTGGTCACTCTGCGCACTCGGATCCCCAGAACAACTTGCTTCAGTTGGACAAGAACAGGTTCGCAATATCTCCATCCATGACCCTCTTGCAACGTCTCGGAGGAGCGTTCCACGCTACAGCATGTCGCAACTTGGATTCCATTGTCACGCAAGGCATCATGCCTGGTTCGGAGGACCCCGACGGGGACTTCGACCACAGGCGCCAATTTCGAGGCAACCAAGGCGGCAGACTCCACAGCTATTGGGGGGTGTTTGCACCGTTCGATCACCGGAACGCGACGACCAAGATGCGGGTGCATGGACGAGATGCCAAGCACATGCCACTGGCGGTCCTCCATGTCCCATCGCAGGACCTTGCACGAGAAGATGGACGTATCACAGACAGCGGCATCATGATCGTTGGCCGGACGATACCGTTCCATTTCGTCAAGGAGGTATGGTTTTGCGTCCCGGATCCTCAAGATACACACTCTTTCGCTCTGGTGGAAAAGATCTACGATGAACGATTGGAGAAAGAGCTGGTGTTGGACTACAATGCATCACCATTGCTCCCTGAGTTCGAGAGATACCGAACGCCGAGCAAGATCATGGAATTGCTTTGCGAAATGCCTCCTGGACCCCACGACACCAGCAAGGAGCAGATCATTCGAGACCTTACGACTGTCCTGGAGTCCCACAGGGAGAACACGGTTCGGCATCACTACATGGACAAAGGGATCAAGTTTGTCATCAAGAATTGGCGACCCGAAGACCTACGCAGAGACGAGGATGGAAGGAGAATGAGGGTGTGCCCGGCATGCTACAACATCGTTCCAGCATGTTTCTCCCGATGCACGTCTTGCTGGTCACAGTTCGTTTCTAGCGGATATTACCAAGGTTCTCCACAACGGGAGACTCCTACGGAGATCCCCAGTGACTTCATTGCTCAGACAATGGAAGCCGCGGCAGCAGCAGTGCCTGAGGCGCCCGAAGAGGAGCAGGAAGCCATGGAGGTAGAGACCGTTGCGGAACCTGAGGAAATCCCAGAACCATCTGTCATCGCGGAGGACGATCCAGAACAGGAACCTGATGAAGAAATGGACATAGAGCCAGGAGAGGACTTTGATGACGCAGTACCAGATGCAGTTGCACAGGAACGCCGTCCCGTCTTCATTACCGGCCAGTCTTTGAACATCGATCCTGAGCTACAACTTGCACGTACCGCCATGCAGCCATCCTACTACTCAGGGAAGCGAAATGCCCATTGCATTGACGCCAACATGGTCGCTCTTTCGTATATGGCTTTCGTGGTATGCAGGACCATCTACAAGGCTTGGTCAGGCTTCGCGAAGTGGGCTACTATGCCGTTGTTTCAGATGAAGGAGAACTTCGCACTTGGCCAACGTTATGATGTGCTTGGAAAATGGGGATCATTGGCTGTAGTGGACAGAGAGACTGGTGTGAGCAGGGATGTGACTGATGAGGAGATCATTCGCTTTGCCAAGGAACCTGAGAACTTCAAGCAGTATGATCCCAACGGGACTTACACTTTGAAGCGCTTCCGGACGAATCAGATGCTTTCGTTGCTTACACGGGGAGCCAACATGATGGGAATTGGCAGGGACAACTTCAACCCTACTACGTACTTGAAGAGCAACAGGGATGAAGATGTGAAGGCTATGCACTTTTGTTGCCTGAACGTCCTGTGCGAGGTGATTCCGATGGTGACGGGACACCAACAATTCTCAGTGCTACGACCAACACCAACTGGACCGGTGGACTTCTTGTACATCGACCCCGTCGGTATCCTGCTGACTCATTCCGATCATTCAGTCCAGACCATCGGATTGCTGGTGGACCACAATGTGCAAATGCCTGCGCATTTCATGGACAGATTGAACAGATCCAAGGCTGAGAGACAGCAAAACCCGACGACCAAGCGTACTGAAGCCCTACACCACATTTCGGCCGCTGATTATCTCCCTCCAGGTGGTACTTCCATCCTGGACACGCCTGTCACTACGGAGGAACGTGCAAGCGCTTCTTCGGCCAAGGGACCTTCAAAGGGGCGTGAGAGAGCCGGAGGTGAACAGCATGGAGGCTGGAACGCCAACACCTACTATGACTACACCGCCGGCAAAGGCCGAAACAAAGGCAAGGACAAAGGAAAGCAAAGGGAACAGTATCCAGAGGAAAACCTCCGGCCCTGGGACCGCGATCCTGCGACCACGCGAAGATGGAGATGAATCAACGCTTGGTCTTCCTCGCCTATCAGTTCGTGACCTCTGAGCTTCGCCCATGGAATGCCATCGCGAATGCTTCTTTCTTCGGTGACGCCTGATTCGTTTGCCATTTCAGGGGATCGTTACTGACGTAGATGAGTGTCACAACGTTTCTAATTGGGATGCAAAGCTCTGATTTTCAATGTCAACGTTGCGGCGGAACATTTTCTGTTGTCCTATCGTGCCATCTTCCGGGTGAGCAGCGTCGGAGACGCAACTCATGGGGGGTGCGAACGGACTGCGATGCCTTGTCAAGTTCTAAGGTGTCACTATAAGAGCTGTGAGCAAGACCGTGTAAAGTGCAAGAGAAGGGGGCACGCTACGCGTCCCTCGACTCTAAGGGGGCACGCTACGCGTCCCTCATCTTTACCTTTCTATGTGACCGCCCACGCAACGTTTGGCTCAAGTCAATGCCCATAGCTAAGTGCTATAAGTGTCTTCTATCCTGAGCAATCAGAGCTATCCCGTTGCACAGACGAACCGCCGCCGGCAGTGAGTGCAAAAGGAACGGCCGCCGGTTCTGCCTGCATAGGATTGCACGCGTGGAAGTGTAAGAGAGACAGGGTCCAGTCTGTGGAGAGTGCAAGCCAGCCACACCTACATTCATTACAGCTCTGGTGGGGAGAGCAGCAACCTAGTCGAGATCAATCCCCCACGCACAGACTGACGCCGAATAAAGCCAGGGCAATCAGCATCACGCAGGATTCTACATAAACGCATTCCAAATATATGGCCTCTTCCGGGCGATCAGTGCCGCGCCGGGCGACCTGTGCCGCGACGGTAGCTTCAATTCTCGGCCAGGTGGACCCAGCGACACATCCAAACATGGCATTGAGCGCGCCTCGTTTGCAGTGCTTCCACACGCTGCAACTGCTGCTGTCCGCCCGAAACCCCCCCGCGAATGTCGACGATTGCAGGTCGTACGCTTTGAAGGAGTCATCTACTCCTTGAACAACAGGAGACTGTTGCTTGGATTGTTTGGTGGCACAGGCTTAGTTTTGGAATCGACTTTTCCGTCCGCAGGCTGGATTTTCGCTGACTTGTAATTCTTGCATAGTGTTGGCATCGACGTTTCTGCGAGTCGGCCGGGCGTTCGTTGATTTGTAGCACGGGTGTAGTGCCGGAGCCGATGTTTCCGTCAACCGGCTGGGTCTTTATTATTTCTAAAACTCACTCAGCGCTGGAATCAACTTGCGCGAGTCGGATTTTCGGCGATTTGTAATGCTGGCTTAGTGCTGGAAATGAGGTGTTTCCGCCATACGGGTGGAATACTCTCGAGTTGTAGCACTTGCATATGTTCCCGCAAGCCGCGAGCCGGCTGGATCTTCTTCGCCGTGTAGTCCTGGCTTCGTATTGGGAAATCTGGAAGTGATGTGTGTGACTGCTGACGATGGCGACGATCAGAACAATGTTGCTTGCACAAGAAAGTTCTGCCAACGATCTACCCACTTGAAAGGGTAGCTTTGTTAAACTATCTGTTGTAGAAGTTGGAGATTGTTCATGCTATGCACCAAGTTCCAGTCTATCCAAGGTGGTGCTTCAAAGAAGCCGCCCGATGGTGTGGCCAGGCACGTGCTCAGCTGAAACCTTCCGCGGGTTGTTTGCTTCATTCAGCTCGCGCAGAAAGCAACGGGTGGCTGCAGAGTTTCGAGGACGACACTAGTGTGTTGGGTTGAGTTGTGTGTGTTATCCGGACGAGATGCAGAATTTGTAGATTCTGGTTCGAAATCACGAAAGCTGGCGAAGCGAACGTTTCGCTTTTATCTGTGCTAGCAGTGGGCCTGGACAAGCAGTTCCGAAGCAACATTGAGCAACCCCAACCCCTCCCGCTCACCCCCAGGGCCCCCTGTGCCGGAGGTGATGATGCCATCTCTGTTTTTCCCACGTTGCTGATTGTTGAGACTGGAGCCCGCCTCGCCAGCTGTGTTTCCCCGCCGTTGCTGTTGCCGTGCGATGATGCGTGGAGCCTCTGTATCGCTTGCCGTCTATCAGCCCAGGCTAGCTTTCGTTCCCCTGGCCCCGCCTTTCAAGTCTGGCAATCATTAAACCATGTTATCTTCGTTGTATACCAACTTGTTTTTCCACGATTCGTTCGTGCTTTGCGACGCGATGGAGGTCATGGTGAAAGTGAAATACCAGACCCTGGACCGTTTGACGGTCCAGTTCATTCTTGTGCCTTGACTTTGAATTTTGGCATCGAGTCTTGTAGCTTGCTGAGGGTCTCGAAGTGAGTTGAGGGTCTTCAATTAAACTCGGAGTAGTGTTGGCTGCCACGCACATCTCACCAAGTGCTGTAAATCCAACGTAGCACGGACGGCTTTTTCTACTTAGTTGCTAAGCCCAGTTTTGCCGTGTGTTTAAAGCACTCGGGAGAGGCACAGCCCAGTCGCACCAAATTTGGCTAAGCGGCTAAGCCTTTCTGACTTGGTGTGATGCTTACAGACGACAGAAAGTAAAAAAGAAGCAGCCCTACTTTCATCGCGCTTGCAACAGAATCAATGCTCAGGCCATGACGAGCACAAACAGTGGGACCAGAGTGACCCTCCGCGGCTAGGGCTTGTGTTGTGCATGCATGTAAATTCGTCGCGTCTCTAGAAAGAACCCCTGACCTTAATTCGAGCTGTTTCTGAGCAGTCTTGCGAGTCTCCGCCGCAACGAACAGCAGCAGCTCTTCACCTCCCTCATGTGCATCTCCACCAAAATGGCCAGATGCAAATCACATGTCTCCTGCTACCACAGGATGGTAGCGGCTTCGGGTGTTTGAATCAAAAGGAAGTCGTGAGGTCACCAGCATTCGGCTAGCGACAGCAACTTGCCCAACCGTTGAAGCTTTGGGGCATGTGGAGTGCAGAGTGCAGTGTGGAATGTGTCATGTTCAGATGACGTAGTTGCCCCCATTTTGTGGTTGGACTTTTGTATAAGGCTTTAAACATGCCTGACACGTCACTTGAATTCCTTCTACAGTATCTGCATGTACCTGCACATTTTGCTTCTTGGAAATCTTTCTGCAACTCGCAATGGCTGCGTGCGCCCTGGGGCGAGAGGAGTGGTCGATGCCGCTTGGATGAGACAAACGGATCCGTTTATTTCATCACCAGCACGTCTTGCATGGCTATTGGGGAAGCGAAGAATCTATGCCTGGCGTGTTCCTGCCGGTGACACTCCGAGTGCTCTGAGTTCTGAGAGCGCTGCAACTTCCATAACCAGGTGAACACAGGAAGTATAACCATAGCCGGCAATGGCAGGCTTCGGAGTTTGGTTTGTGTTTCTTGGTCTGCGTTTCATCAGAGCAAATTGCGCGGATTGTTGGCCTCGACCTGCTTTGATCCGTTGATCAAGCAAATTTCGCCCTGGTCGTTGGGCTCGTTTGCATGCTGAAAGTTTGATTCCTGATTTGTTTTGTTTTATCGTGCAGCCTTAGTGTTTTCTTGAGAAGAGTAAGCGGATGCATGCATTGGACATGTCTGTTCGTTTGAAGTTACGCGAAGATTGCACAGCTGGTCCAAGCTGCATCTGCAGCATTGCGTTCCCCACTGCGGCTGCCAACTTATTCTGGAGCCTAATTTGCCCGCAAACGGTCAACTAAGGTCGGTGGATCGAGCTTTCGGCGTCTTGAATACAGAGGCGCAGTTACGAAGGTTTTGCCGCTCGAACGTGTTGCAGTGTCGTACGTGCGCATGCTCAACGACAACGTTTAGGCGTTGCCCGTCTGCACTGGGGCTACAAAGTGTGCGCCGAACAAGAACGGAGAGGTTTTGACCAATCCCTCCATGTCAATCACTCGTCAGGCCCCGACAGGAAGGGCCCAGCCTGACAACAAAGCAAACATTCTTGAAATATTATTATGAAATCTATTCGATTCGAGGCCAAATTCATGAGATGGCTGCTCATAAAAGCCTCCGCAGTCCAAGGAAATCCGGAGAAGGTACAGTAAATGAATTGAAATGCTGCTAAGTCCTGTGCAATCCCATGAGATCTGACGAAATTCTGAAGGAAAACAAGAGAGAGCCGCAAGCGGTCCCATTTCGCTACAGAAGCACAGTGCCACGTGCAGGGCCGACAGTTCCTGTGAGGTTTGCGGTGGTGGCTGGGGAGCTCAAGCCATGCAGGTTTGGAAGTCCCTGGCTGGTTTCCGGGTGGCACGCTTAGGGCTTACCCCAGCCCAGGCTCATGACGAAATACTCCAGCAACTGGGAGTCGCACTCCAGCGGTCAGGCTGCGGTGCCTTGCCTCTGAGGAGGCCGTTACCCCTGCCCTTCCGGGCTGCTGAGCTGTCCAGCATGCATGCCGGCCCTTCACGCAGGTGTCGGGGGCATTGCGAGCGGCCGACCATGTGTGGGGTGGGCGCCTCCTGCATCACTGGGTATTGCGCGTAGAATTATTTCAGGCCCAAGGCTTTGCCCTGCCCTCATAAGTAGGGGAATAGCATATGGATCGAATGGTTACCGCGCACTTTCTGTCTCGGCAAAGCCTCCTCCCTCCCCCCCGCCTTCAGGGCCAAAGCCCCTTTTACGGTTTCAATCTTGGGTGGCGGGTGGGGGAGTGGTTTATTGTAAGACTAAAGGCGTGGCACAGGCAGCGCTGATTCCCTTTCCGAGAAAACACGGTCGGTCGAGCGTTATTACGCGGAAAAATGAGCCTAGGCCCCGTTTAGTGACAGCATTTATGCTGAAACATCCCTTTGTGTTTCACACTGGACCCTGATCTTCTGCTTCAGTGTCTGCCACCACTCTTCGGATTTCTTCGGCTTCGTGATGTCGCCAAGTTGCATTCCGCATGGGTCCCAAGCTAGCGGCAACTTCGTTGCCCATTGCTCCTGTCGTAGTCCTTGGCGAAGAGTCGCTAAGTCGATTGCCAGCCGTCTATCGCTTGGCACCCTCGGTACTCCTTCCTTGTGGATGTGGTCGTACAGCGACCTGCAATCGTTGAGGCGCATGACGTTCTTGTCTGCGTCCTCGACTTTGACGATGTCTCCCTTGTACATTGTCTCGAAGAGCGACCTCATATACTGCGCACTTTCCAAGCCTTCCACGCTTGCTTGGGTCTCTGCATTGAATGTGCTTCGACACACCTCCTGTGAAGCTTTTGACTTCAAGTCCGCCACATTGGTAAGCCCAGGCTCCCCGAGCAAGCAGGCGACGTGGGCGACCATGACAAGGTTGCCAAGCTGTGCAGCCACCCTTGAGTTGTTCTTTTGGGCACGTCTCCCGTTTAGTGACGAAGGACCCTCGGGCTGTAGCCCCGCTAGTTGGTCTTTGTAAACCTCAAAGCCTTCTTCGTTGTACTCGCTCTCGAAAGCGTTGGCCCGCGCTGCGTCGTGGTACACAAGGAAGCTGACGGCCTGGTACGGGATGGGCCTGAAACGTAGACGTAGTCCTTCTTCTTTGTGACACTGCTTTAACCGCGATAGAATTTGTGAACTTGATATCTCGGTAATTATGTCGGAGACTTTGGCAACTGCCGAGCCCAAGCTCACACTGCGAGTGAGGTCGGCTCTTGTTTGCGCCGACAGCCCCGACAACACCCCTATCAGGCTCTTGTTGTTCGCCACCAACTCCTCTGTCGCTAGTTCGTGGTCTGGTTTGCCTCTGGGAACGTCCAAGGTAAACAAACGGTTCTCCACATAACGTGCCTGCTTGACCGTGACCTCCCCGTGCTATTGATTTCCGAGCCAATGTAGCTGATGTCGTCTTTCAGCCACCCATCGACGGTAAACACCAGGGAGAGTGCTTCCTGAATCATCTTGTTCATGTTCACCGTCACGGCTCATGGGCTATACCGGCAGCACAGCTGCCAAAGGACGAGCAGCGACTACCTAGGCTCCGCTACCAAGGTGCGGGCCAAAAGTCCACGGTAACAGGCCTTGGGCTTCTTTTGCGACGGTTTGTAACAAAACCGTGCTCCTTGCGACAACCACCCTCCGCGACAAGCCTTTGGTTAGAGGGAGGTTGTCAACGACGAGCACGCAACATACGTATGAAACAGGGGAGCGCGACATATGTGTGTAACAGAGGCGGGGGCGGGGAAACGTGACATACCCAACAGCACGCCAAATGGGGTTCTGTGAAAAATCGAAAAACCGTGAAGTGGTTTCCACGTCCAACAGAACTGTTGACTATGAAAGCTAAGAAAAGCGGAGCCAGACAACCAAAAGCAACAGAAAACCATTCAACAGGAATCGGAACGATCGCAAAATATTTCTGGAGCGACAGGCATGGGATCAACGATCCTCAACATTTGGCTAGTCGCTTCTGTGTGCGCATTGTTGTTCGTTGGAGCTCAGCATTTGTTTCATGCGCCCCATGCTGCCGCCAGATGATGACGTTGGAAGAGCTGCACATGTTGGATTGGTCGCAGGTGCATGGCAGTCTGAATATATCGCCATTGGCAGTTTGGCGAACATCAACCTAAATCGGACAGGTCGCAGAGATCTCGACGGAGGGGCTGGTCAAGAAGTGGCTTGGCTGCAAAGGAAGCGTGTTGCGCATCCACGGGATAGGGACTTGACATTGTGTCGCGCTCTGGTCTCCGCAGGATCACAGTAAATTGCAGCAGACCACTGGGCTTTCTCAAGCAGATCATGTTGGGCACTGAGGTGCTTGAAACTGCACACAGCCTTGCGCGAGCTGGTGGGCTTGCTGGAGCCAGAGAGTGAGAAGGTCAGAACCGTTTGTTGGAGTGCAGGCTCAAGGCCCTAGGCGTTTTGAGGCCTCGCAGCACAGGCCGGTCTTGCTGCGAGTGTAGCTGCAGGGACAGCCCGGAAATGGGACCCAGTTGTGCTGATGCTCTCCCCCCCCCCGCAGCGGGAACGACGGGTTGTGAGCAATTGATGGATCATGCATCTTTCAGAGTTTGGAACGCATGGAAGCACCATGCCAACCCGTCAGGCTGCCTGCGACATCCTTCAGGCCAAGCCGGCGATGCTTGGGGTGACGGTTCGTTTGGTACCCGCAAGTTGTGTTTCAGGGCATCTGATTGTCTTCAGGATGATGACCTCTGCGAGGAAGATTCCGAAGTGTCATCTCAGGCCTCATGACTTCTGTCCGCTCGGTTTGTCCGAATGTAAGTTAGCTGGCCAAAACATTCAATCTGAGTTTCAGGTTCTGTTATCATGATGTTGTTGCCGGCTGGTCAAGGGACAGCAGACGGCACAGATCTTCCGGCTTGTTAGAGCACAGTTCCTGTGACCACATCCAAAGGCTTGCCAGCAACAATCACCGCAGCAGTGTCGCAGTCAGCTGATTCCGTCCCGAATGAGCTAGAATGTTAGGGAGGCTGCGCAAACAGAGTGTATAGTTAAGAACTTCCCGCCGGGAGCCTTCGGTGCATAAGCTGCAATCGAGGTTAGTGTTTTGCCTTTGTTCTGGAGGCAGAGAGGGAAGCACTGGCACTGGAGAGGCCTCCGAGGCATGAAGCTTCAGAAGCCGTTCGTGCACAAAATTGTTCTCGTGTCAGGCCTCTCGAAGACGTGCTCGGAGACGAGCCAATGGAGGTAAGCGCAGAATGTGACGGGCCATGGCCGACCTCGGAGTTCCTGCGCCCGCGATTAAGTAGTTGTAGACTCTTGTAGGCTTTGAGCCAGGGTTGTGGAGTCTGAGGCAATCTGCAGGAGATGCACCACGCTTTGTGCTGCCAAAAGCTGTTGCCGACATGCCTCTCCAGGCACACAGTCGCATCACGGCAATCCTGCAACGTCTCGTGATCAGTATCGATCATTGCTTTGAGGGGGACGCTGATGTGCCATTGACCACAGCTGGGCCCCCGTTTGCACCGGGAGACTCACGGGAATGCAAGGCCAGATGTTGCTTTGGAGCTAAAGGCTGTGATCTGCGACATCCCAGAGCACCACACGTCAGAGTCCTTCAGGACTGCGACGCGTTCAGCGCACTCGCCAGAGATCTAATCTAAATGGGTTCAAAGCTTGTTATTCTTGATAGGCTCCAGCTCGATGGCTGCCGTCTAAGTTACAACTTCTTCTACATGCCTCCCAAAAGGCCTCCTGTACTTGCGCTGGCAAGTTTTTTGCACATGCAAGGTTGCACTAGTGCCAACCATCATATTTGCTGTCTGGCACACGACTTGCAGGCAGGATGGCGATGGTCAGTTCGCCATTGTGAACTTTGTAGATCCCGAGAATTGGTTTGGTCCCCAGAGTTGGAGGTTGCTGAATTTCGATGTTTTTGGAATTGCGGAGCCATGCCCGCAGGATGGATTGCTACTGCAAATTCCAAGACTTATCCTACGAGGCTTGCTTTCGACCGATGACATTGTTAACGGCCCACGAGATCTTCCGTTTGCGCCAGGGAGTCATCTTCCTGTGCCCAATCCAAGGGTTGGAGAACAATCTTGCTTATTGGCAAGAAGGTGCCCTTGAGGCACCTCATGACGGCACGGTTTTTTTGAGGGCAAGAAGTTGCAGTAGTGCAGTGCGCTACACCGGAACTTACCAGCCTGGTGTAATCGCTTCGCGCAGTGACTAGACGTTTTGTAGAGATCCAGACGGAAAGAATCGTGAGATTCCGTCACTAACTTTTTGTTACATCTGTTTGCACTCCTCTGACCTACTTTTCTCATCTCAGTACTCAGCCCGTAGCCTTCTTTTCTGACCGGTGTCTGCACACATTGCCTTGGCGTTTGGCCTTCAGGGCTGGCCGAAAATGCCCGAGGCGGTTGATGTCTTGTCGCAGGTCTCGCGCCAAATGTATGCAGCCTACACGTACACACACAAAAAAGCTCGCGAATCCCTTTCCTAAACATTCCAACAACCAATATTCTCTCTTATCAGACGGTACCTTCTCCACTGAAAACCTTGAAATCTTATTAAACACCTTATGCAAAATATTGGAAATTTTCTGAAATCCTCGTGATATCCTATTGAAAACCTCATGACAACCTATCATATATATATATATATATATCAAAAAAGTGTGGTTAAACAACCATTAAGCTACCAATGAAAACGAATAGTTGAGAATTATTGAAAAGCAATTGAAAACTTCTTGCAAACTGATTGGAATCCGATTGAAGCTGAAAACCGTCAAATCTTTCTGAAAACCTGCTGAAAACTTGCAAACCGATTGAACACTCATAGAAAACCTATTGGAACAGTATTGAAGAACGATTGAAATCCTAATGAAATCTCATTGAACGCCTATTGAAAACGAATGGCAATTTGAACCACGAACAGTAGAACACCTACTGAATTCCTGCTGAACTCCTATTGCCAACTTATTGCAGTTGTATTGTGAAACTCTACGGAAAATTTATTGACAATTCTTGAAAACGTATTGAGACCTATTGAAGCCCTATTGAACTCCGATTGAGATCCGATTGACATCCTACTAAACTCTTATTGAAATCCTATTGTGTAGGTCTAGGTTTTTGGAGTTTAGGCTTCGCGGCCGCCAAGGGGAGATAAACAAGCATCCATAGGTATTGGTGAATTGTTGGGAACCAAACTTTGCCCCAGACCCTAGTCGTAGTACGTTGCAGATTTTAGTGTCAGCATGAAGCGATTAAACGAGACTATTGATTGCCTTGCTGCCAGTACACTGTTGTGAGGGCAGTATCGCGCAGGTTATATCTCAACGTGATGGGGACTTATTCCATAGAGGAGGGTGGAGGCGACGGCCTTGCGGGAGGGGAAGGCTGGAGTGGGAGGCTGAGGAGGGTGAGTGGGGTGGGTGGGGTGATGGGGTGGGGGGTGACCGCTGGCGGGGGTGTTGGAAATTTTGGGAGAGTACAGTGAGGCGTAGCAAAGCCCAGTTGTCACGGTTTTGTGGCACAACCAGGAGGCCACGACCAACAGAACGCAACCCACAGGATGATAGCAGGCTTAAGGGTTTGGTCGTCGGCGTTTAGGGTTTATGCAAACCATCCTAAAACCCGCGGTTTTAAAGCCGCTTGGCTTCATCCTAAACCCTCAACCGAAAGCCACGTGAAGAGTGGGATGGTGCATATCGCGACCGACCGAGACTATCTGACGGGTTTGTCGGTCCCAGATAGGGAGCAACGTTTGGTTAATAGTAGTAGTAGTAGCAGTAGCAGTAGCAGTAGCAGTAGCAGTAGCAGTAGCAGTAGCAGTAGCAGTAGCAGTAGCAGTAGCAGTAGCAGTAGCAGTAGCAGTAGTAGTAGTAGTAGCAGTAGCAGTAGCAGTAGCAGTAGCAGTAGCAGTAGCAGTAGCAGTAGCAGTAGCAGTAGCAGTAGTAGTAGTAGTAGTAGTAGTAGTAGTAGTAGTAGTAGTAGCAGTAGTAGCGTAGCAGTAGCAGTAGCAGTAGCAGTAGCAGTAGTAGCAGTAGCAGCAGTAGCAGTAGCAGTAGTAGTAGCAGTAGTAGCAGTAGTAGCAGTAGTAGCAGTAGTAGCAGTAGTAGCAGTAGTAGCAGTAGTAGCAGTAGTAGCAGTAGTAGCAGTAGCAGCAGCAGTAGTAGTAGTAGTAGTAGTAGTAGTAGTAGTAGTAGTAGTGGCAGTAGTAGTAGTAGTTTTTTTGGGTTGTTTCTACAAGCTCAGTATCCGGTTATGCTATGCCCCGTTCTTGTTTCCTCAAACAAGACCTTTGTTGCGCAATGTTCCATTCTGGTTGCTGTATTGCCCTTTTGGTTGCAATATGCCGTAGACGAAGTGCCGTGCAAGTGAGGCTTACCGAACGTTTTGCGAATTCGCGGCCGAGTGCCGTTATACTCATTCTCGCAGAGACACACACACACACAGTCTCTCACATGCACTTTCTTTCTCGCGGCGAAGCTTCTCGTCAAGTGTTTGGGGATCTTGGGGGCCGTTATGAGGGCCGCAAACGCCGTTGTGCAACGGCATCTCTTCCGATGACAGGCCCTTGAGCCGCTCAACTTGGCCAAGCAACCGGTTGAGTGACTTGACTACCACAATCAGCCGATGTTTCGTGTGGGGAAGTGCAGCATGCGAGGACATTGGCCTGGATTTTCACATTTCTGGACACCCAGAGTGTGGGGCGCGTGCGATGCGGATGCAAGCACCTCAAGCGAGGGCAGGCCCGGAACTTTCAGATGGTCAGGACGAAAATGAAAACATCTTTTTTGCATTGCCTGCAGATTGCGAAGCTCTGGTGCAAATGCACCGCTCCAAGCCTCAAAGCTTGATCCGTCACGGTGACCGTCATGCCGCATTCAACGTGGTGAGCATATGTGTGAGCATGTGGACTGCAACTACTGAGCGCAACTGATTTTATGGGTGCTATGGCCCCTCGTGGATTTGCTTTGGGCCTGGGCCAAGGTCGTCTGCATGACATCACCTCAAGCTCGAAAAGACGTCGGAAAAGCTGAGGCTGAGCCCCTTGAGCTTCAGTTTCTGGAGTTGTGCATTCCTGCATCTCTTGCTGGAACAGGCTGAGTCTCGCACATCGTGGATCCCGTTCAGGACCGAGTGCATCGCGTGTTGGGTGCACTTAAACATGCAGAGGCTTGTATAACTGGTCTAGCATGGTGTCGAATACTTGTTTCATGACCGCTTCTGTGTGCCAGGTTGAAAACCAATTGAAAAATCTCTTGCAAAGTGATTGGCTTACTGAAAACCTGCCAACAAGCAAAGACGCAGATAAGCCCAAAAAATGAAGACACAGATTAGTACTTCTGTCCCCTCAAGTATAGATAAATAAATAAATGTGAATATGTACATTTAAACCATACACATCTTCAATAAGTGTACATATATATATATATGTATATGTGTATATACATATATATGCGTGTACATATAAAACATTTGTTGCAACAACAAAATTTGCGATGGTCATGGTGTCCATGTGTATGTGTATATGTACATCAGGCTGGCATCGGGGAAGCTGAATAGCCCGAATCAAGCGAAGGACGACGAAGAGGTTGGCATCGAAACAGCCGGAGGCCCGCCGCCACGCTTGCCATGGTGTGCTTGATGTTGGTTCATATTACGTGAGTACTTTCGCGCCAAGCCTGCTTTCCATCTTGAAGTGGAGGCGAAGAGGAGGGCTACGGAGACGAGTTCTGAGTCTGCCGCCTTACTGAAGAAGCAGGTTCTGGGCACGCTGTTGGTGACTTCGATGTAAGCTTGGGACACTTCTGCCGAGTGCTCGACAAGAGAACCGCGTCTTGTCGTTCGCGACGGTGGAGTGCGCACATGTCAAGCGTGCACGAAAAAGGTCTGGAGCTTTTGGACAGATGCCTTTGCACCAGTATGATTTGTCGCAGCCTGCGGCACCCGAAGCAGACATGCAAAGGTGCAAGAGGTCCACATCACGGAGCTTAGAGTGGGGGTAGGTTTTGCAGAGACTTGCGCCGCGTCGGCGTTTCGGTCCGAAGGATTGGTGATCAAGGCCGCTACATCACGCGGTGTGCCCCAGTCACCTTCGGTTGGTGCACTTTGCGATCAACTCTCTCTCTCTCTCTCTCGACATCTACGCCGTCACTTCGCAGCCGTGCGTGAGGAATCGTGAGGCCATTTGCATCCACATCGGCCAGGCGCCAGCATGTGAAAGCCCCCGAATGCTTCAAAGCCCCTGAACTGCGCTGTTGAACTCGAGCTTTTACCTCTTCGTGGAGCTGATAGCTCTTCAATCCTCAACCATCGTCCAAACGTAACGTTCGCTAGCGCTTTGGAGGGCTCATGACAGCAGCGCCGCGCATTGGGCGTCCTGGCAAGACACGCTGCCTGTCATCAGCGCACGGGCACCTGCAGCCGCCGCCCGACTCCTTCGGGCTCTGCGAGGTGATACCGCCCTACCCTCCTCTGCCGCTGCCGTCGCAGCGCAAACGCGCCTGCGTCAGGTTGGCTATGAGGCCCCCGGATTGGGATACCGAGGGCACGGCCCCCCCCCACCCACCGCACACCGCCTGGGCGAGGACTCCGGGCCCTGGCCTTTCAAAGGCTGGCAGCCGCTGCCCGAACATGCGTTGCCCGCAATGTCCGGCTGGCTGACATGAACCTCGACGTGCCGGTCGACGATGAACGGCGCATCGAGGTTGTCGCCAATGGCCTCTCCAAGTGGCACGGGTCACAGCTCGCCCTTGACGCCACCCTTGTGCTGTCCCCCCTCACGCAACGCGGCCAGGCCCACCCCGTGCCGACGCCGTGGCGGGCTCTGCAGTCAATGTCGCCGCCAGGCCCAAGCGTCACAGCACTTACCCCGAACTCGGCCGTGCCCCATCATGCCGCCTCGACGTCCTCGGCGCCGAGACTGGCGTCAGCGGCGTCAGGTTCAGCACTGAGACAGTTCAGTTCCTGCGCCTCCTGGCATCTCCTGGCGCGGCCTCGTGCCGCCGCCGTCCCCACACCTGCGCCCGGCCGCGATCACCGCCTGGGTGGCGCGATGGTCCGGCCTCCTCGCAGTCGCCGCGCAACGAGCGTTTGCTAATTGCCCCGGCAGCCGACCTTAGCGACGGGCCGGGGCCTGAGCTGCACGAGCTCCTCGCGGAAGCGCACTGACAACCCACGTCGGCCGACTGCGATGGAGTAAACCCGTAGCGGTAGCGCGTAGCCTGCACTGGGACCGGGACCTTTGCTGTCGTGCCCGTGGGAAAACAACGCAGTCGATTCCCCAAACATCTTCGTTGGTACGTTGCTCGTAGTCGTAGCGCAATCGTGTCTTCGGTGATATCGATGGTTATGTTGTAGGTTTCACGGACGCTACTATTGTCGTCGGTGGCCATCGGTGGCCGTGTTTTTATCCATCGGTCATCGCGAATTTCGAATCCGCGACCACATGCCAGTCGATGGGGGGACTGCGATGCTTGTGACGTTGCTGCCGTGCGCGGGGCTTTGCTGCTCGCACTCCGGGCATTCCGTGATGCTCGTGTGACCAGCGGACGGATTGGGAATCTGCGCATGGAAACTCTTGCTGCTCGCGCCCCGCATGCTCCTTGCGCCAACACCACTCCGGGGTCGTGAAAGCAAGGCCGCGTTGCTGGAACGAGCTGAGGTTTCCGACGAGGTGCATGGCAACAGCTGCCACGCACGCCCATTCCCGACGAAATGCAAAGCTTCCAGCCGGAGTCTTTGCCTGCGCTGGCCACGTACACGGTCGCCGCCGCCTTGCGAAGCCACGCGTCCGTATCAATATGGGCTGCAAGCAAAGGCAGGCACTGTCGCCTTGGCCGCCCGTGTGAGGGTCGCGCTGGAGGCAGACCCCAACGCCACGCTCGTGTCCTTGGATGGCCGCAGTGCGTACGATACCATCTCCAGATCATCGTTCTTGATTCTCGACCGCACTCAAAGGGTCGGCACCAGAATTGGTGCCGTATGTGCGTCTGCTTTATGGCCATCCCTCCGACTACAGCTGGTGGGATGCGACCGGCATGCGCCGGCGCATATGTCAAGCCGAAGGTTGCGAGCAAGGGGACCCACTGGCCCCCGCCCTCTTCTCGCTCGGGCAGTATGTTCTAACAACCCCCGTTCGTGAGCGTGCTTGCCTGGACAGTGTCACGTCCTGTGGCAGATTGCTCCCAACCATGCAAAACACGGGTCCTCAGCTTGGGCCAAGAAGCGCCGCCGCATGGGATCGCCGAGTTGGGCGACGACGTGTGGCGAGGGGACATGCAAGCCGGCGTTGGAGCGCGGCACCGCCCGTCAGCAGTCCGGAGTTTGCCCGAGCCTGGGCCGACGAGCGGATGCAAGAAAAATGCAGCGCTTGTTGCCAAAGCTGCCCCACTCGCCAAACCTACCGTGCGCGTGGCTGCTGCTGCCCCCTTGTGCAGCCCTACGCGAAACCCACACCATCCACACCGTCCCGTCCAACATCGTGGCACTTTATGCAGTCGCGCATGATGCCGCGATCCGCGACACGCTCATGGAGTGTTTGGGAGGCGCCCCGCCGGACGGTGTGGACAGGGTCGCGGCACTCGCGGGCTTGTCGTCAACGTTGGGCGGGCTAGGCATGTGGGCCAATGCTCTTCCGGTTTTGCGTGCGCGCTGCCCGGCCTTCGCAGCCTCCTCTGTGCAACCGCTCGAACGACCTTGCCCGGCTCGCGCGCCCTCCCTACAGCAAGCGGCAGGGGCTCGCACGCTTCTCCAGTCTGAAGGGTGGCATGCATGTTCCTCGTGGATTGCCTGCTTCCGCCAGGCGAGGAAGGCTTGGCTGGCAGCGGCATGCGTCGCGGACTCGCAACCAATATTATCGCGACCGCGTGCTGAATCCATCCTGGTGGCCGTCCGACCAGGTGCTCCTGCGGTCGCAGTCGGGGACCCTTATGGCAGTCTTATGGCGATCACGCGCCAGCATGCCCGCGCACGGGCCTTTTGGCAGGTTGCTAGTTCTGTTGTGAGACGCTACAGGAAAAGAAGCCTCTAGTGTCGTCAGAAATAGCAAGGGGCACAAAGTCCATTGCCCACGAACCACCGATCATTGGGTCGTACTCCAAGAGCCTTCTTTGCATTCATGATATTTCCAAATTTATCTTCAACTAATCTTTCATCAATCACAATATATCTCACGCCCAATAAGATATCTCTATAACAACTCGTGCAAGGACACTTCTTTTTGAGATCACGGGTAGTGCAAATCCGGTTTGAGCTTTGCGTCACCTCGGGCTGCAACCGGTGCATGGCGCACCCCGGGCCACAACCGGTGATGGTGGACCCAGGTACTGAGTACCGGTCATGTTTGAGCTCATCCCGGATCACCCCCCCAGGGTGGGTGGGTGGGTGGGAAAATCAAAATTTGTGAGTCCCGCTTGAAGCCGACACATCGGATACCAAGGTATCATGCGCTCACAAATTGTGAGAAGACATGACTCGTTGAAAACTTTGCTTCAAATCATGTTCGCAATCCACTTTAAGGTTAGCATGCATTCATGTTCTAACCATGCAGTCAATTTGGAAATACGCCGCACGCCCTAGCATCTAGGGCTGTCATGATGTAAAGAAAATATATTCCGCACGCGGAGAACTATCTGCTTTGCATGCATGATATTTCCAAATTTATTTTCAACTAATCTTTCATCGATCACAATATATCTCACGTCCAATAAGATATCTCCATATCAACTCGTGCAAGGACACTTCTTTTTGAGATCACGGGTAGTGCAAATCCGGTTTGAGCTTTGCGTCACCTCGGGCTGCAACCGGTGCATGGCGCACCCCGAGCCACAACCGGTGATGGTGGACCCAGGTACTGAGTACCGGTCATGTTTGAGCTCATCCCGGATCAACCCACCAGGGTGGGTGGGTGGGAAAATCAAAATTTGTGAGTCCCGCTTGAAGCCGACACATCGGATACCAAGGTATCATGCGCTCACAAATTGTGAAAAGACATGACTCGTTGAAAATTTTGCTTCAAATCATGTTCGCAATCCACGTCAAGGTTAGCATGCATTCATGTTCTAACCATGCAGTCAATTTGGATATACGCCGCACGCCCTAGCATCTAGGGCTGTCATGACGTAAAGAAAATATAATCCGCACGCGGAGAACTATCTGCTTTGCATGCATGATATTTCCAAATTTATTTTCAACTAATCTTTCATCGATCACAATATATCTCACGTCCAATAAGATATCTCCATATCAACTCGTGCAAGGACACTTCTTTTTGAGATCACGGGTAGTGCAAATCCGGTTTGAGCTTTGCGTCACCTCGGGCTGCAACCGGTGCATGGCGCACCCCGAGCCACAACCGGTGATGGTGGACCCAGGTACTGAGTACCGGTCATGTTTGAGCTCATCCCGGATCAACCCACCAGGGTGGGTGGGTGGGAAAATCAAAATTTGTGAGTCCCGCTTGAAGCCGACACATCGGATACCAAGGTATCATGCGCTCACAAATTGTGAGAAGACATGACTCGTTGAAAATTTTGCTTCAAATCATGTTCGCAATCCACTTTAAGGTTAGCATGCATTCATGTTCTAACCATGCAGTCAATTTGGAAATACGCCGCACGCCCTAGCATCTAGGGCTGTCATGATGTAAGGAAAATATAATCCGCACGCGGAGAACTATCTGCTTTGCATTCATGATATTTCCAGATTTAGCTTCAACTAATCTTTCATCAATCACAATATGTCTCACGTCCCATAAGATATCTCTATATCAACTCGTGCAAGGACACTTCTTTTTGAGATCACGGGTAGTGCAAATCCGGTTTGAGCTTTGCGTCACCTCGGGCTGCAACCGGTGCATGGCGCACCCCGGGCCTCAACCGGTGATGGTGGACCCGGGTACTGAGTACCGGTCAAGTTTGAGCTCATCCCGGATCACCCCCTTCTTCGATGTGTCTCAAACCTTGTGCCCAAGCAGTTTTGCAACCATGCTTGCATCCAAAGGATAAGGCTCGATGGCTAAGGCATTCACCTAAGGCTCTTTCGCCCTCCTGGCGCGACGGCCAATCTGCCAGATTTGAAAATGACGGAACTCTCTCGATCCAAGATACTATCAACCTCGGCAAGCTGGAGCGCCAAAGCAAACATGGCTGAACACCGGCTCGAGCCTTTTATGATGGTGGCCCGGGCTGAGTCATTATCAATCCAAGCGATGACCCTCCGATTATGTGTCACGTTCTGCATGTACGCCCTCAAGGCCACATAAGCATACAGCTCGACTTCACAAATGGTCTGGATCCGACCTCCTACTACTATTACCATTATTACGGCGACGATTACGATGGCTTCAATTACGACGACAATTATTGCTGTTGTTACACCGCCCTTCCTGCGAGGTAACGCGCATCACGCCGAAAACCCCATGTTTAGCAAGTCATCCAAAGCGTTTGGGATGCCAAGAATCGCAAGAAAACCAATGAATTTGCAGCATAATTTAAATAAAGCTGAGCAACGAATGCGCAAACATTTTCGCTGCACGCTTTGAATGTTCAGCTGGCAGCTAGCCTACAGCAACGCCCCTGCAGCTTGTCTCAGATTTCCGCCATGGCGACTTCTACACATGGTGGCCTGCGCCAATGTTGTGCTGGCTCGCGCAGTCTGACAGCCACATGGTTGTGCAGCAAGCATCCCGAGGCCATTTTCCTCCCGATCCGCAGCAAAAACGCAGTACAAAACGTAGGCTTGCAAGCCAGGTAGCCCCAACGTGCGGGGAGGCGGCCACACACACAATTCTTGATGTCAAGGCCTGTGTTCTGCTTTCGGAAAGCCAGCACCAACTGGGGCTTCGGCAGCCAGGTGTGCAGCGCCCACCACCGGGAGATCAGAACGCTCCTCGATCTCCGCGGCCAAAGTGAGGCAGCACGGTACACAGTGGCCCGCGCCCGTGCACGGCGCTGTGCATATCCCGCTGAGGCGCGCACTTTTCGGACACGGTCCTTAGGGTAGCCTGAGTGAAGAGCATCGTGTATACCATGAAAGGACCCGTTGGCTGGCACGCTGGTGTGCATCCGCTCCGGGGGACGCCCGGACATGTTCACCCGGGATGGGTGGACTTTTGATCTGCTGAGGTGCTGGGGTTGCGGGATCTAGCAGTGCCCGCGTGACGATGCCACGTGCAGGAATGCGTTGGTCCGGTTTGCCATTTTGGTAAGCCCGGACGATCCTCAATACGAGGCGGTGCAACTTGCATTGCAGCGTGTGTGCGATAATTAATGCCGCACCACGTCCCAGGTGTACTTGAGGAACGCGGTGGAGGTTGCGGCACATCCGTCAATTATCGTTTCTTTTATTTCATGTGGCCGACAGGCACGGTCACTGTTCCGCATTTTGCCATCCCTGACCGGCGCGGATCACACCGTGAGCTTTGCAGAGCGGTTATGCACAAGGCTGGTGCCGCTGCGCAGCCATTATGGACAGAAATTTTATTCCCGAGTGCTAGGGGCACCCATCTGGTCATCGCTGATGACAATGTCCTGCACTTCGACTGCTACCGGGTCCATGAACATGTGCCGATGTGTGCCGTGATGCTGCGGCCTGAGTCAACACATGACACCATATGCTGCCACGTAATATCGCATTGTTGGGTGCCGCGGACGAACTCATGCAAACACACAGAGTGTCTGCATGGTCAGTCGCCGGCACCAACAACACGTGGCAGCTGTGCAATGCGTGCTTTGGATTCGCACATTTACAATCGGGCATAATCCGGCACATGTTCACACGCAGCTGCCGTGTTGGCAAGGTATGACAATCAGGAGTGGCAGAGAGAGCATCTGCAGCGCAGAGCTAAAGTCCTCCTGCAACCCCGCACAGGCCGGAACAATGCAAGGCAGGAGGTCCATTTGTCATGACATGTCCTGAAGGTGCATACCTGTTGTACGGTGCACTGTTCGGCATCAAAGTGGGCTCCCACGCGGGCTACGCCGAGGACCGGCCTTTGAATAAGTTTGTGTGGTGCTACTTGTGTTTTGGGGCCAGGTTAGCACAAGCTGCGCCCATGGCTCCATCCTGAACGATGTGGAGCGGAGTGTTCGGTACCTCCTGAAAGAGGGCCGAACGCTTTCGCTCCTTCGTGTCACGGTGCGGAAATCGAAGTCTCGCAGGGGAGGATGCCGGACGGTCCAAGGACAAGCCCGCGAGGCCGGTGGTATCCATGGAGAGCACGGAGTTTGTACGAGTGTAGTTAATACGGTTGGTCGAGGTCGCGATGCGCAACCAATGGCGCGCCATTCGAAGAATGGCAGTGAGCGGAGGGGCCCGTGCAGTCGCGTTGGTGGACAAATTGGTCCGGCCACGCCGAGAATTGAATGACGCTTGGCAGCGGATGTATCGCCCGAGACTCCGTCAGATGATGGCCAGAGTTACAGATGCAAAGGAAGTTCCGTTCCCGCGGTTGCTGCAGTCACATGTCGCGCCGCGCGCCCTCCCCGCCGCCCCTCACCGCTTCCCCCTTGACTGACCCAAACAGCCCTTCACCCCGCTCTCCTCCCGGCGACCGCACGCCGTTGGCGCCTGTGATGGCTGCTCCTGCCACTGAGCCTATGCTAACGCGCCCTACCGCTGCGCAGCACAGCTCGCCCGAACAGTTGCCCTCCCGCCTTCTTCACCCCGCCGCGGCGAGTCTCGCCGGAGTTCGCTTTGCCACCAGTGGCTGCGTGCCCGGTTTGCCTGCAAGCTCCCTCCTCCCAGCCCCAAGCCGAGGATGCGGTCTTCCTATGTTGCGCCGCATTCACGCCTCTATCCTGCCTGGTGCAGTGCGCACGGCGCCACGGCAGTTGCCCCAACTGCAGAGCTGCCGTCGACCACCTGCCGCGGGAACCTGCAATCGCGTCTCGATGTCGACAGTTGGGCATCGACCTGGAACCCGAAATACCTCCGCCGCGTGACACGGGTTTTTGCCGCTGTCTGCGATTATTCCACCCGCACCTTGTCGCGAGCCGACGCTCATTAGCCAAGGCTTCAACCCACAACCCTAAACCCCGAGAAACCTTTTGGGGTTGCTGATTAGGGTTGGACTATACATCCGTAGAAAGGTAGGGTGCTTGCAGCTAAGGCAGGGTTTAAGGAAAAGATGTGGCTTCGATGTCGCTGTATACTAGCACGAATAATAGCGCTTTAGCTGAATAGTTCCCCTGATGATTCCACGAACATTATGGATTTGGGTATGCTTGAGCTTAAGTAGTTCCCTCCAACGATTCCGCCTTTTTGAACGTTAAACTCTGAGAGGCTGTGATTCGTGCATCTTGTAGCGTCTTGGGGAAAGTTTTATATAGGGTTTCCATTGTGAGGAGTTCCCTGTCTGGAAGGCCTTGAAGTCCTATAGTATTTTTGAGGGCTTCTACATGCTTATACGCCGTATAAGAAAGTGGTTTGAGTTTTGCCCCTGTACCCCAAAGCCTGAAAGCCTACTTAGGATAAGATTGAAGCTTGAGTGATTACCCATACTGCTGCATCGGGTTCCTAATTGTGACCATGCCATAATATGGCCGCGGCCCTTCTGTACCATAGGTAGCGTATTCTCTGCCCACTCCTATAAGCATACCTGGTGGGGTTGATGCTGCTTGTCCGGCGTGGACTGCTGGCACAGCAGACGTTGCGGCGAGTGCGCCATGCACTCTTCCGCACCGTGCGAAGAACGGTGCGCTCTACCCTGGTGAAAAACAGTGGGCTGCTGTCAGGCGCTGTGACAGCCGAGACTGGATCCGGATTGGTAACAAGAGCTACTGCCTGGCAAAGTCATGTGTGGATGACGGTGGCTACCTTTGCTGGGAGCCACGGCCTGCGGCGGTGGGACGCGACGTTGGTCTCGCCGCTTACACACGACGGGTTCACACACCCGCGAGCCGCCCATACCGATGGCATCGCTCTCCGCACCGTTGAAGAGCGTAAGTGGGGCACGTATCCGGAATTGTGCCGCCAGGGCCCGAACAACTCGTTGCGCTCGGGTGCGAGATAGGACGCGTCCCTTTCCCTCGCACATTTTTGCAGCCGTCTCCAAACGCACGGTCCCCGTGCACACACGGCCTGCGGAACGGCTTACGCAGCACGGCTGGGCGTGCGACTGCGCTCCGGCGCTTCCTGCCAGCGCATGTGTGCCAGAAGCTCGTGCAAAGCGGGTTTGGCCCCTCCACCAGTGCACTCGTTGGCGAGGGGGAGGTGCAGCAAGGAGGCGGCACGCGCACGCTGGGCAGCGACAGCGAGGGTGCCGCTCCGCCGCAGGACCCATGCGGCTTGAGCAGCGGGCCGAAGGATGGTCGGCACGCTCGCAGCGCGTGCACGCGCGAGCAAGCGAACGAAGTTAATGGCAGGTTCAGGTGCCCAGCGGCCTCCAACCTCGATGCCAGAAACGCGGCACCGGCGTGCCGTGCTGAGGTCCGGGTAGGATGGGCAGGTTTGTCGGCGCTTGCGCTTGGTGGCATTTGCAGAGACAACACCAGCGCGGGCATGGGACCCGTCCCGACTGGGCTGACGATAGTGGCATCAACTGCGAGCTGGTGTCCATGCCAAAGTGGAAGCCTATTGCACACAACTTCGATGCGCGGTGCATCGTGCACGGGGACATCAAGAGTCATGTCGGCGAGGCGCACGTTGGGAGCAAACACGTGCCAGAACCACGGCTGCCACTTGATATATCATGTGCATGCGCATGAACAGTTCGATTTTTTTCCGCACCTGTTTGCGCCGGCGGACAATCGAAGCGCCCCAGTCTTGCGCGATTGCTAAACCTTTATGGAGCGAGGAGGCGGATGGCTTCCGCCTCCTTGCGCGAGCCAAGGCTGTCAGTGCACCAACGTCCCTGCGCCAGCCCATGCGCACGGCTTGGGTGCCGCGCTGGAGCGGAATGTTGGGCAGCGAGCCTTTGCGACCTCGCTCCTCGACAGCCGACTCCCAGCGCGGCTTACGTAAACCGCGTGCCGCTTCCTGGCCGTAGCTCGCAACTTGCACTGGGACCGCTTCGAACTTCCGGAAAAGGCGCGGGAAAACACAACCTCGTGGAGCAAGCACGCCGCCCTCCAGCCGGGCGTAAGTCACGCGGCGGGGAGGCGGCTGACGGGCACGGCTTCGGCGTCACAAGCATCCGCCAGCACGTCGCCTAAGGGCGGCCCCGCTCCGTCGCACTCGTCCGCTCCCGCCAGTGGCAACTCGAGCAAGGAGTGGCAGCGCACGCTGGGCCGCCACCGCCAGCATGCCCGTCCAGCGATGCAGCGATGCACGTTGCACTGCTGGGCGTAGCCTCGCTGGCGACTCACGGGCAGCTAGCTTTGGCTAGCTGCCGCAAGAAAACACTAGCCTCTCGGGGCTAAACCTGCCGCCCACATACTTTCAGGTATTGTAAGGTCTGGCGTCCAGGACCCGGGGTCCCAAGAGCGCAAGGTCTGAAATCCGAGGCTTTGCATTTTAGACCCTCGTCGCCCCGCGGACACCAAACCCACACTCAAATCGCTTGCCAGAAATTGGTGTTTAGCGCATGGCGGCCGCTGCGGACTGATCTTGGCCCAGCATATGTCCAGATTGAATTACGGGTCAACCAGCAACGAAATCAATGAACCCCTTATTGTTGAATGCGAAGTGTTCCAAGATGCCCAGGGCCTGCGTTCTGGATCCAGCATTGCAGGGCATGCGGCTGCGGAGCTGTGATTCGTCAGCCCTTTGGGCTCGAAGAGGCCTAAGACAACATGTGAGCCATGAGCACTTTGGCTGGTGCCTGGCCTCGCGGGGGTTGGGTCTAGGAGCTGTGCATGATGGGACATCGGCCGCCAAGCTTTGGAGTGGAAAAGAGGTCCCAGCAAGCCCACAGCTCGCCGGCAAGACAGCGACGGAATAGATGGCGATCGGCCCGCATGAAGCTGCAGCGGAAGGTTCGAAGAGTCATTGCACTTACAACTTGCTCGGCGCCGGAAGTTCAGCAGAGCGCGGGTGCTTCCAAACAGGCTCAGCCGCAAGACCATAGTGCAGCTGGCGACTTCCGTGATGTGCTCGCCTCCTTCATGCGTTGCTCTGAGCTGGTTACCGCATGTTTTGTCAGCAAGTGGACGGCTCCCCATGCAAAGGCGCCCGGACGGAGATTCCGGGACCTTTTTCCCGTGCCTCCCCTCCGAGAGTGGCCACTGGATGTTCTGCTCGACGGCTTGGGCGCGCAAGTGTGCCTTGACGTGGCAAATTGGTGCCTCGGAGCACTGAACTGCTTAGAATTGGGGTTGAAGTCTGACTTCCGCCACGGCGAGATGAACACTTTCCCTTCTGCGCCGCAAGCATCTGCCCAAAAGCATGTGTGCTGCAGGGTGGTGCGTTTTCTGGCACGACTTAATGGTGAGTGTGGCGCAACTCTTTCATGGGAAGGCTCCTTCAGCGCGTGCGAGCAAGCTGGGATGGCGCAGTATGAGGACATCCGCAGCACGGCTGTTGATTTGCCTGCTAAGGCCGGCACTTGCTGCCCTGCTCGGATCATCTCTCCACAACTGCGGGCCTTGATCTCCGATGCTTCTGAAATTTTCCCTGGGCGCACCTGCGCGACACCTTTCGTCGCGGCCAAGGTTCCGGGATCAAAGCGATTGGAGTATGTGCGGCTCACTGCACGTGAGCTCAGATGTGGAAAGCTTCGCCTTCGGAAACATGTCCATGGACAAGGGTCAGTTTCTGCAGCTCGAAAATCGAAGGGGCGGCAACGCAAGATATGGGATGGCTCCTACTTGTCTGAGCGAGCAAGCCGTCCGCCTAAGCCCAGGCGGCTCGCTAACCCGAGCAGTTTCCTGGACCTGGAGGTGGCGCCAGGGGAAACACTTCTTTTCTCCAAGAGGGATGCGGCAACGTGCTTCGACACACTCACAGTCCCTGTGGAGTTAAGGAGCTGGTTTGGACAGCCACCAGTGAGGGTCAAGGACCTCGTTGCAGCGGGCCTGAGCTTCGACGAGATTCATGGCATGTGTGATGATGTGCCCGTGGGTGATGTGAAGTCAAGCCTACAGCTTTTCCCGGTACATTGCACATGGCCCATGGGTTTCTCATGGTCTTCAGCTGTTGCGCAGGATACCACAGTTGCTACCTGCATGCAAGCGGGCATCAGCGAGCACAACATCATCTCCTTGGATTGCGATCCCCCAAGCTGTCATGACGAGGTTTGCTTTGTGGCCACTGATGACACAATCCTGGTGCACAAACATGCAGCGCATGGAAACCGAACCCTTGAGAGCTTGGATGCAGCTTTTGCGTGCAATGGAATCCCGAGGAACCATGAGAAGGATATTTCGCTGCAACCCCATGTGACAGCTTTGGGTTGCGATTTGTCCAATCACCCGGCACTCGTGGAACCAAATTCCGCAAAGATGGCCGAGACGGTGCGTAGAGCCATAGACCTTCTCGTCTCCAGACAAGCTTCTCCTCGGGCACTCAATGCTCATATCGGCATCTGGCAGTGGTTTGCATTGATGCAACGGGGCTTGTTTAGCATTTTTGATGCTGTGTACGCCTTTGTTCAGAAGCAACCTACGTCCCAGGTTAATAGGCTTACCGAATCTTGCCTCAATGAAGTCCTGACTCTGTTGCTGCTGGCTCCCCTCTTGCCGGCAAGCCTGGACCGCCAGCCGTGCCCGAAGCTCATTGCATCAGATGCTGCGCCTGAATTCGGTTTTGGGGTTTGCGCTTGCGATTGCTCTCTGGAGGAGGCGGCTGGTGTCTGTCGCATGGCTGAACGCAGGGGCGACTATGTACGCTTGACAGCTGATGCAAATTCTGCTGAAGAAGAGATACCCAGACGGGGTCGACAGCGGCGCCTGAACTTGCATCGTAAAGACTTCAAGACTATCATATCCGCCAAAGCTAAATGGAAAGCACATTCTGGGGTGCCTGAGACTCATGCTTACCTGCTGGCGTTGAAGTGGACAACCCGCCAGACTGTCTTACATCACCGCAAGATTCCATTTTTAGTGGATGCCAAGGCTGTGTTGGGGGCAGTGACAAAGGGCCGCAGTTCGGCGAGGGCATTGCGCACGTCGCTACGGGGAGCTGCCGCGCATGTGCTCGCGGCAAACATCTTGCCCAGACTGGTTTACGTCCCGAGCGAAAGCAACCCAGCAGATGCACCATCAAGAGGCAAGAGCTTGCCTCGGACCTCACGCCTGCGATAAACATGGCTTCATGGACATTTCACCTTTTCTACCTTGCTGTATAGGCCTTGCCACTGACACTCTCTTCAAGGGCACCGGGCGCTCTAGCGAGAGCGCGTCGCACTTTCGAGACGTGCTTCCTTCGACCAGCTGCAGGAGAGGCTGTGGCGCTGTGCTCTTGGAGTAGGGTCTCGCGTCTGCTCCGATCGCGTTTCTGAGTTCTACTGGAAAGTTTTGTTTGTTGCTCCTGGAACATGGCAAGCTGAGTTTTGGCGGCTCTTTGCAAGCAAAGTGCCAGTGCGGGGAGATGGGCTTCCACCTTAATGTTTGCAGCAGAAGCTGCAGCCTGACATCTTCGGAGCTTCTTTCTCTAACCTGCAGTGGCAAGGCGTGCTGAAGAAAGAGCTGTAGCGATCACGATCGTTTTCTGTCCCAAAGGCGCATGAACGTCAGCAGCAACAAAGAACCCCTTATTGTTGAATGCGAAGTGTTCCAAGCCTGGGCAGCGTTCTGGATCCAGCATTGCAGGGCATGCGGCTGCGGAGCTGTGATTCGTCAGCCCTTTGGGCTCGAAGAGGCCTAAGACAACATGTGAGCCATGAGCACTTTGGCTGCCCAGCCCAATCCCACCCTTTTTAACTTCTGGGCTTCCACCTTGATGTTTGCAGCAGAAGCTGCAGCCTGACATCTTCGGAGCTTCTTCTGCAGCCTGACATCTTCGGAGCTTCTTTCTTTAACCTGCAGTGGCAAGGCGTGCTGAAGAAAGAGCTGTAGCGATCACGATCGCTTTCTGTCCCAAAGGCGCATGAACGTCAGCAGCAACAATGTGAGTTTTGTGCATTGCGGTATCTTGTTGCCAACGTCCCTGGACAAAAACTGGTTTAAAGTGCATGGCCACCGGATCGTATTATTCGCGGTTTAGTGTATCTCCACAGTGAATACCGTGTGAAACCGCACCAATACCGCACCAAAAAACCGATGTGATTTTGTGCCTTACGCTGCCTTGTATTCAACGTCCGTTGACAGAACCGGGTTTTCAGCACGTGGCTGCCAGTTCGAACTATTCGCGGCCCAGCATATGTCCAGAGTGACGTACGTGGCAACCAGCAGCGAAATCGATGTGATTGTTGTGCCTGGAGGTGCCTTGTTGCCGAAGTCGCTTGACAGGAATTGGTTTTAAGATAGTGGCCCCCACGTCGGCTTTACCAGAGGTCTTTTCAATTCCAATAGGAACCGAAAGACATTCCAAAACGCAAAACTTCCAGCAACCCTACAATGCACAGGGCCTTTTAGTGTGAGCAACCGCAGAGACCTCGTCTGGCAGAGTTCCGAGTGCGAGAGTATAAATCTGAGTGTGGACGCCGCAACCCAGTCCAAAACCGTTGAAACCCAGAAACCTTCGTCACTTGAAGCCAGCAGCACCCCCAGACCCAGAAAACGCAGAAACCCAGAAACCCAAACACGTAAACACCGAAATGCCCAACAGACGCAAAAACCCCAACCACAAACATCCCCATACCCGGAACCGCAGAAACCCAGAAACGGGAAACATCCAGAAACCTCCAGCAACGAGCAGGCCCAGAAACCCGAAACCTAATGACCTAATGACTGCAACCCAGAAACATCCCCAAACCCGGAAATGCAGAAATCCAGAAACGCACAAAACCGCACAAACCCAGAAACCCGAAGTGCCTGAATCTCTGAAATCCCCAACCAATGGACCTTGCATCCTAGACCAATGTAGACGTCGATGAGAGCTAGGACCTTCTGTGGCCAATTTTGTCTTAGGGATGGGTAAGCGAGGGCTCATGGTACCCGTGTGCCCTGCCTTGTTCACCAAAATGTTGCAGAAACAGCGTGTGTTTTGGTAGAGATGGGCTTCAAACTGAAACACCCAAATCGAAGAAACGTCCGGCAAAACCCTAGAAGTGGTAAACACTAACATCCCGAAACCCAAAAATGCAGCCACCCAAACCCTAAAACATCCACAAAATGCAGAAACCCAAAACACGCAAACACGTGAACCCAGACACGTAAACCCAGACATGCGCAGAAACGCAAAAAACCAGAAACCCAAACACGTAAAAACCCGAAATGTCCAACAAACACAGCAACCCCAACCACAAACATCCCCACACCCGGAACCGCAGAAACCAAGAAACGTGAAACACCCAGAGACCTCCAGAAGTGCACAAACCCAGAAACCCGAAACCTAATGACTAAAAACCCTGAAATCCGGAAACCCGAAGTGCCTGAATCCCTAAAATCCCCAACCAATGGACCTTCGATCCTAAACCAATGTGGACGTCGATGGGAGCTAGGCCTTTCGCAATGGATACAATGGGGATCCTGGGCCCTGTTCCTGTGGCCAGTTTTGTCTTATAGGGATGGGTAAGCGAGGGCTCATGGTACCCGTGTGCCGGAAGCTGCAGGAATCAGATCTGCCAACATGCAAATCGGCTCTCCGAATCAGCTCCGCGAATCGGCTCCCAGGAAACCACGAATCAGGCCCAACGGTGCCTTGGTAGTCGTCGGCCTTGAGGTTGGCGGCAGGTTTGGCTCCGAGGCCGTGCAGCTGCTGCGCCTCCTGGCGCGGCACCGCCCTTGCTGCGGTCCTTTGCTCTGCCATCACGGCTTGGGTCGCGCGCTGGTCCGGCCTTTTGGCCGGTGCGGCGCAGCGCGCTCTTGCAGCATCGCTCCTGGAGCTTCCCCCAGCTGCTGCGCTCGGAGAGGGGCCCGAGCCCGAGCTACACGAAGTCCTTGCCGATGCGCGCTGGGACGTCGCCTAGCCGGCTTCGACCTGTCCTAGCTGCGCCGGCCCTGCCCAGTAGGCCGCTCTTGCACCGGGACCCTTAGCGCGAACTTGCTTGCGGACAAAAAAAAATCAGACTCGATCCGGCTCGGGGATAACTAAAAGCAAGCCCGCGACAACCGAAGTCTGCAAATCCCACGCAGGGTTGAGGATGCAGGGTGCACGGAGGCAGCAGCCGAAACCCCTTAACCCTAAACCCTGAACATCCCTGAGCTTTAAATCCAGATACTAGGCCTGCTTAGGGCCATAGCGACGTTGCAAAGTTGTTTCGCAACACCGGACTTGCTGCCCCGGCAAAGCCTTCTCTACCGGGGCTGCAAAGGGGGCTCCAAAAACCTTAGTTGAAAACACACCGCCGATGTTGCCGATGTCCGCTCACCCGCTGGCTTGCTGCCGCTCAGCTGCTGATTTTTCGGCGTCGACACTCACTCAGGCCTTCCTGGAAGGAAGGGAAGCCACGGTTCTGGCAGTCACGACGCTGCGTCACTTTCTGACTACTTGACTTTGCCTCTCGCATGGAGCAGTCATGGAGCATTTTCGGTTCCCACTTCCTTGCCGGCTTCCTTACTCGACGAGGATCTTGCAAGCGTACGGCGCCCGGCGCCGCTCGAGATGCCCCTCCGTTACTAAGGCGTCTCCTCTCGCCGAAGAGCACCCGCCCCACGCCCACGTTCCTTCCGTCAGGGCGGCCATGCCGTCCACCCCTTCTTTGCTTCATTCGCTTCATTCGCTCGCTTCGGATTCGACACTCAGTAGCCCTCCAACGTCCTCGCCCCATGGCTTTGCTCCTTTTCCCCATCCCGTTCTTTGCGTTTGTAGCCATTCCAGGTCTTCTCCCTATTTTCGCTTGCACACCTTCTCCGCTGTATCAGGTGTGTTGTTCCGGTACGCGCTGCTGCAATTCATGCTTCGGCGCCCGCTTGCTCCTCTTTCCCCTGCGCTCCCCATATTTAGGGGTTCTGCCGTGTTCGCCATGGACCCAGCATGGCAAGAGGACGCCTGCCGCGCCGTTCGCATGTGGCTGATACTCGCGGAGCGCAGTATCAGTGCCCTGCTCCTTCCGACTGGCCCTGCAGAGGCTGTTGCTGCCGCAGCTCCACTTGCAGCTCGGGCTCTTGGCTCCTCAACTCCAGCAGGTCAACCAGCAGGCCCACATCCTCGCCCTCTTCGTTGGCCGGCGCGGGCGCCTTCACCGTTGGTGCCTGCCCCACGGACAAAGTGCGGTAAGCCGGGTGTCTCCCCATGTTCGTCCACAGTGTGCTCGGGTTGGTGGCCCACCACGAGAGGCTTTGGCCACCGACACTGGGCGCCCGGTTGATCGTGCACATCCCACCCCGTGCCCATCGTCGTGAAGGTCTTGGCCGCACTCGCTCGCGAAGTACCCGTCCGCCGCCGGACACCATGGCTGGCACTTCTAGGCCAGGGCTGACGCAAAGAAGGCGGGCCTCTCAATGGTGATCCCGCATGCCGTAGCACAGGCAGTCAGAAACAGCCAGCCCCGCTCACCGTGTTTGGATCAACCGCAACAGGGACAGCCTCCTTCCTCAAAGGAAAGAGAAAGCAGAAGCGGGTCAACCATGCGACTCCGTCCTTTGCCCCACCGGCAGCTATGCAGCTTCGCCCCAGTTGCGCTTGCCAGCAGGGCTACACATCGTTGGCTTACCCCGGCGCCCCAACCCCAGCCAAATGCAAGCTCTGCTGAGCCACGTGGCGGGGTTTTCGCCTTCCCCGATGCCGCCTTCGCCATTCCAAGACGTGCAGGCTGTATCCTGGAGGAGCTCCAGCCGGCAGCGGGGAAGGACAAGCGAGGCCGCAGAGGCACCCTCAAAATCTCGCTGGCCCAGCACTCGGCACCACACGGCAAACAGAATAGGGGCAAGAACACCAAGAAGCCAGACACAGCGAACAGGATAGGGGCACAGAGCACCCAGAAACCACGCACGGCAGACAGGATAGGGGCAAAGAGCACCAAAAAACCAGACACGGCAAACAGGATAGGGGCAAAGAGCACCAAGAAACCAGACACGGCAAACAGGACAGGGGCAACAAGCACCAAGAAGCCACACACGGCAAACAGGATAGGGGCAAAGAGCACCAAGAAACCGGACACGGCAAACAGGACAGGGGCAAAGAGCACCGATAAACCAGACGCAGCAAACAGCACCCAGAAACTGCACGTGGTACAACGCATGGGCAAAGAGCACCAAGA